CAAAAGACATGGATTGTACACGGGATCTTCGTCGGAACAGCGATCGCTGCAGCGATTGGGGCAAGTGCTTATCTGGGTCGATCCAGGAAATTCCGGAGCCGGGTCGTCGGAATTATACCCGCCCGTTATGCTTCCTCTCGTTTCGAGGGTAAACCTCTCGTGCAAATCCTCGGCAAACCCATGATCCAGGTTCCTCCATAACTTTTTTTCTCTCTTCACTATCTCTCTCGATTCTGTCTTTAAAGTTACCAACTTTTTCCCCACCAATGTAATTGAGATTTCATGCTTCAATTTTTGTGCTTTAATATATGCAATTGATGATCTTGTTAGATTGGACATGTTTGTAACTATGTATCTTGTTTATTGAGCAGAGAACATGGGAGAGGTCGAAATTAGCTACTACGCTTGATCATGTTGGTAATGTAGCTCAGAATCTCTCTTCTCTGTTTGGTATAAAAATGTGTACTTTTGTGGTTGTATGCATAAAAATGTGTGTTTTTTATGGATTTAAGATCTCTTCTTTCAAGTTACCTTGCTTAGATCTCGTAATTGGCTTCTTGTTACTTTGTGTGATTGTTGAGATTACAAAGATGTCTGATTTCTTTGTATTTTTTGTAACTTATTAGTTGTAGCTACGGATGACGGAAGGATTGCGGATTGTTGTCGTGGATTTGGTGCTGATGTTATCATGACTTCAGAGTCTTGCAGAAATGGTATGTATACCGTTTTCTTCCTATCCACTGATTTGTTTTTGGAATATAGTTTTTGTGGTTTAAGCTTCTGTATCATTTGGGTGATGCATAGGTACTGAACGGTGTAACGAAGCACTGGAAAAGCTGGAGAAGAAGTATGATGTGGTTGTCAACATTCAAGGAGATGAACCACTCATTGAGCCTGAGATTATTGACGGTGTTGTCAAAGCACTTCAGGTCTCGTAAAAACGCTTTAGTTGGATATATCTTATATGCTGCATCTTCAATTGGAAACAAGATCTTTAAACTTATTCAATTTTGTAAAATGTTATTGAATAGTGTGTACCATTGGTTGTGTTTTTTTAGGTAGCACCCGATGCAGTGTTTAGCACAGCCGTGACATCATTGAAACCAGAAGACGGGGTTGATCCTAACCGAGTTAAATGTGTTGTGGACAATCGTGGCTATGCTATTTATTTTTCGAGGGGTTTGATTCCTTATAACAAGTAAGCTTCTTATGAGTATTGGTAAAGTGGATTATCTTATTGTAATCTTAATTACTAATGCTTTCTGCGGTTTAGGAGTGGTAAAGTCAATCCAGATTTCCCTTACATGCTTCATCTTGGAATTCAGGTACCGAGCAAGCCGGTTTCTCTTACTAATTATTTAATTCGCTTCATCTAATCTCGGCTATGTTTATTTTCCTTGTCCTCAGAGCTTTGATTCAAAGTTTCTGAAAGTATTTTCAGAGCTTCAACCAACGCCATTACAGCTAGAAGAGGATCTAGAGCAGCTCAAAGTCCTTGAGAATGGCTACAAAATGAAGGTAACAGAAAGGAAAAAACAAATGCTTATCGTCGATATATTATCCTAAAGAATTGAACCTTGGCTTAGAGATTACAGAGAGAAGTAAGTTTAAGGCACTAAGGTTTACATGCTCGTGGTTGTTGTCACAGGTTATAAAGGTGGATCATGAAGCTCATGGAGTTGATACACCCGAAGATGTCGAAAAGATTGAATCTTTAATGCGCGAAAGAAACCTATCCTAGTCCACAAATCCAAATCCAGATCCAGGCTTTCAAATTTTATACATCAACTCTTTTTTTTCCTCCTTGTTTTACTGAGAAATTGCGTGATCGAATCATGGATTAGTATTATTATATATACTCAAGGTAATCTCTATTATTGTACACCAAATTGAATTTGTTTAGTTGCTTAAGAAAAGAAAGATGTTAGGGAAAATTCTTTAACAAGAAAAATAGATGTTAGGGAATTCGTGTTTAGTATTTTAAGTGT